AGGGCGTGAAGTGAGAAAATTTAACTAATTCTTGTATATTAGGGTGCCATGTTTAGCAAGACCCCTCTTTTTGAATTTGTTGCTTATGTGTGACAGACCCCACAGCGCTGAAAACTCGTCCCTACAACAATTCGCCTCACCCTTGTTCCCATCTCCAAAATCTCCCCTCCCTCCTCTAATGGTATTTCTCCAACTTCGAGGCGATTGTTACCATTGTTTGGAGTCACAATTCTTAAATTTAGAAAAAAATTTACAAATTGTTTAATAAAGGGCGTGGCACGGGCTGTTTTTTGTATATAGCAACCATTTTTTTTTAAAAAGTTGTGCTGGTGTAACTATGTTCAAGTCAAAAGGAGACTTCGTGTTAGCTCCACGATGCTGCATGCTTCATTAAATGAAATTTTTTGTTAATAATAACCAACTTCTTCGTCATGAAATACTACACTTCAGGTCTCTTTAACAAAGACGTGGAATGTATGCATTCAACAGCGCCTTAGCAGAAGACCTCACGCATGGACCCTCTAAGATGGTGGTGGAGTGTTCTCCAATTTGTCAGTTAATTACGTGATTGTGGTGGTCCGGTGGGCAGCCTTCCTCTCATTAATGTACATTCAGTATATTACACACGTGACCTTGAACTCGTGATCAACGCATAACCTGTAACCTGGCAAAAATGTCAAACGGAGACACCGGATACAACTTTCATCACCATTTAAAGAGTAAAGCCGGTTGGCTATTCAAGGGTAATCTCTCTCCACACTAGAATAAATTAATTTTCTATGTAAAAGCCAAGTAAACAGAAAGCAAGCAGAATTAATCGTGACTTTAATTTACTTGGTTGGATCATTTCATAAATTAGAAAGTCCCGCCTCGAGGTGAAAGCGCCGGGTTACCCGTTTCATCTTAAAAATAAGGCAAAACTTTAATCTCTTGATAGATTTCGGAAAATTAACAGTTTTGTCATTTTTTTTAAAAAAGGATTGCTTTTATGTGACCTGCATAACTCCATGGTGAAGCAGGTACCGTTTGAGGGAGTTGAAGTAACTACACAGCGTACGGCCTTCTCCACCCAATAGCCATGAAGCCTTCATTTGCAATTGAAATGAGCCTGAGAAGCACAAAAATTCACCTGATTTGGGGGGGAGTAGATGGTTGGCAAGAGCAGAGGTGGGGGGTGGAAGCGGTGAACTTCCCAAGTTTTGCAAATCGCTATTTTTCTAGCTAACGCTGGCCCTGTGTCTCGCGGTGCCTTCCTCTCTCCCTCCCTCCCACCCTCTCCACTGGCTTCTGGCGGGTCACTTCAAAGGCACACCGCAGATACTTCAGGTCGGTTTTTAGTTGGAGTGTGCTTTAGGGATGGTGCTTCAGGTCAAAGAAGGCAACAATAAATTCCATGGCGAATGTCTCGGTAGAAATGAAGGATAAATTTGTATGACTCACGGACTTTTAAGTGTTTCTTGGCCACCTTGTGGATAAGTGGCATTTAGTAGGCGTCGTAATGATGACCTCTTTACTTGATAACAAGTGGCTGATGAGATAAGTTAAAGAGGAGCGTTTAGACGTCATAATTCAATGCATTAACCCCCACCGCTACTGATGACTAGGTGGAATAAATAGGAAAAGAACGTGGAAAGAAAATGAAAGGCCATGGCATAAGGTAGGAGTAGGTGCCAAATAAAGTCAAAGTGATTTTGTAGTGAGTAAAAGCTTCAACATTTTTGATGGTGCTTTTGTACATTCTTTCTCGCACCCTTGAAGCACTGAATAAAATTCTACTCTTCCATTTATTGTATAGATGGAGGAATTTTGGAACTCCCCATCCAGCCCGTTTCTATCCACTTCGACTCCGCCCATCCTCTATCCATCCATTTATTTACGCTTCTCGGATCTACCACCTGCCTTGTCGCCCAACAACGAAATCCAAGGCTCTCCATCCATTCGTGTGCAGCTTCCTTCACCTTCTTCTTCTCCAACTGCCACAGCTTTACACAGGGATGTGCAGTGGCTCCATGAGCCCCCCGGTACTATGGCGACTTACTTCCACAATACAGGGCTAGCTAAGTGGCTAGCCACGGCAAATCCCAACCAACAGCTTGCCTACTCCTTCTCCCCTTTTTTTTTTAATTTAAACCACCATCAAATCTGTTTACATTTACCATGGAGGTCCTGGTTACGCAAACTTGGGGTGGTGAAGCATGTGCGTGTGTGTGTGTGTGTGCGTATGTGCAAGAGATGGAAGGAAAGAAGGCAAGCAAGACAGCACAATTTCACAAAAGGGTAGTAATTGGCAGCCCCAATTAATGCCACATTATTTCAGCAGTTCAACTCCCTCAGTGTGCCACCATGACACCGCTTCCTCCCTCTCCCTCCACATTGGGATCATTTGCACACACCACTTTGTGTGTACACTTTCGATAGGTTATGTGTTCCCTTATCTTCCAAACACGCCCAATTCCTGGCTGTTTGTTTGCACTTCTCCCTCCTTTCTTACCCACCGCCTTGACGCTTCTGTGACACCTCCGACATGGCTATTAACAGACCGTGTCACGAATTTAAAAGTTAGTTTAGCCAGTGAAAGATGGCTGTGAAAAGGCATACTTTGGAATTAGCGCGAGGTTTGCATTCGCAATAAGGCAAACACCATATCAGGTAACGAATACACACTCAAGTACCACATTTTTCACAAAAATCCGGGCGATCATCATCATCATTATCCATAAAAGAGTGTGCTCGCCTCCACTGCACTCCACTCCAATGTTGCCAACTTTTGGTACACTTTGTGTGTAGTCAAATAACCGATTTGGCATTTAATCTCTCTACCATCTGTCCATCCATCTCATCACCTTCAAGTCTTAAATACCAATCCAATGGAGAGAGAGAGAGAGAGTTGAGGAGGCCGGAGTAGGGGGTCGAGGGGGGAAGTCAGTTGCCATGACAGGAGTGAGAGTGGGAGGGGGGGGGGGCGTACAAGCGACAGGAGGAACGCGAGAAGGCTAGTTTGAGTCCACCATAAAATGACACGACGAGGCCTCTGCACACAAGCGCACCAACAGTGCCTCCTCCCGATCGATAATGTGCGTGCCAGTGTGCACCTCTACCTGTGCGTGCGTGTGGGTGCACGTGAAGGTTCTGGCTACTCACTGGGTGCACGCGTGCCTGCACAGATTGCGTGCGTATGTGTGCGCGTGCGTGCGTGTGTGCAGCGTGCAAGTTGGCACGAGCAGAGACGAAGCGTGGGTGGGTGAATACATGTGCACGAGGCTGAGTGAGAGCAGCAGAGCTACCAACCTAGCAAGAGAGAGAGAGGAGAGACAGTCAAAGCAAGTAACCCCGATATAGAGACCCGAGTTTTTTTTTGTCACTGGTGTATGTGCATTTTAATCAGTAAGACTATGCGTCTCTACTGAGCCATTTGGTACTTCTCTATGACCACGCCTTCCCCTGACACATTTGACCATGGATTTGCCAAATATTAGCCCTCCGGATTACTGCTGTCATTCCTGTCGTCATCCTCCACACCATCTGCATCATCAACACCAGAAGCTTTGTTACCACCAGCATCACAACCGATTTCAATTTTCACCATTCAAAGCGTGATTCCCTCTTTCGCCACCACCACCACCTCCTCCACTTGCTTTCCTTGTGAGTCTAAGTTCAATTGTGGTGGTATTGAATGCGTAATTGTGAGTAGGTGGCTGTGGCTCTAGTTAACGCAAAAACAGGCCATCCTCATGACATGAATCTCTGTGCCTCTGCCTTTGTTATCATTTAATGTAACTGTACCATGCTACGTAGGACAGAAGTGGATTTAAGGAAAGTATAAGAGCAAACAATTCATTTACATTTGTTCTTTCCTATTTTTATCCTCGAATTCCCATCCATTACAGACTAGCACGACCTGCCATAGTAGTCGTTGTGATTGCTTCTATACATCAACTCTTTAAACCAACTTTCCTTTTTTATAAGAAACTCTAGAAAGTACTACGTACCGCAGAGGACTTCGGGAGCTCTTATTCCCTCCAGTCCTAGTTGTCAGTGCTGCCGCACTAGTGAATTCCACCCTGACCAAAATACTGGCATTACTAAATAAGCTCATGTCTTTACTGAATTAAAGACGACAAAAAATAGCGTCATTTCTTGATGTCTTATGAAATTAGGAATAAACAGAAAGACCTGTGACTTTTTGACATCTATAACCACTTTCCAATGAATCGCATATTTCTAAAGTTCGACGATTATTCTCACTAAGTGATTGGCTTTAAGTAAACAAATGGCGAGATAAAATTAGGTTCTAGCTCTTGTTTTTATGCTATTTTGAACTATATTTATGCTCTAAAATTCCGTGAAAACTTGTGTAAAATGTTTGACCCACACTGTTAAAAAACCCACCTATTTAGGAAAGTTTTTGTTGTTTTTAATTTTTGTAAGGAGGTACCATAGAGGTTTTTTGTTTAGAGACCTTGCTTTAAGCAAAAAGTGCATTTAAAAATATTTTTGCGGACTAAGGGCTCATTGTTCAATTATTAAAATTGTGAGTTTTTTGAGAAGTTGGCGTCTTCTACTGCAAAAAAGCGCTGCACCTATTCGCAGTGTTATCAGAACAACAGAAGCTCTTGTCTATGAAACTTTCCTTTTTTATTCCTGCGAATTCAAAGGATTTCAATAAGTTAAAAGTGACTGCACCATATGTTTGCAAACCATTTCGTCGAAGAACCGGTTATTGTACTAGGACGGTGAAAAGTCTCATTAAATCCATGCGACTTTTTAAGGCAGAGAATGTTTTGTGTACTTAATGCAAATTTGGCTTTAATATGCAACAAATAGGTGACTCGGTGTTTTGGGCATTGTTAATGAATCATTACACAAAGTGTTATTTGAAAGACTTACTGAGTTTATTTTACCCTACGCCCAATAAGCAATGGACTACGACTTCGAAACAAAAGCTTCAACGTACAGTCACCGATTTCCCCGCCAACTTAACAACAGCACAAGGAAGCCTCCGATTCCCCATCGAACTACGTCGACTAGGAGCACTTCCCTATCTACTACCCAATTGTCCTCTGCTGGGAGTAATCTAGATCTTCTTATTGACCATCGCTTCTCCAAATCCTCCCAACGTCGTCGAAGGTACATTCGACCGACATACTCCTTTTGGATCCTAGTCGCCTGTTGGACGCCCCTTCTCCTCCTCCTAATGTCATCTCTGGCGCCTGGAGTGCTGGCCGCTAGTGAGGATGAAACCATTTCCCTCTCCCGAGCGTTGGATAGCCCATCTGACGAGTCGGCAGAACTGCGGACCCTTCCCAAACCACCACCAGCAGCAGCTGGAAATCTTGAATCTTCTAACGACTTGGCAGACGTTGAACTCTCCGACGACTTGGAATTGCCCGCTAACGTCGAAGACAGTTTGCAAAACGAGGACGCCTCCATCTTCCATGAGCAGGAAATGCATGTCTCGTTGGAAGAGATGAACTTTCAAACAGAAACTATGGTTGTAGACGAGTACTCACAAATTTCTAAGCGAGAAGTGCATATCAAAGGTGAGCTATTTGGTCCTTTTATTTATAAAATGTAGGGGATATATTGCAGACTAAAAAGTACTCAGAATTACTTTAGATTTGCTTGTTTATCACTCTACGAAGGACTACAGCTCTCGTTCCATTAAAACCTTATTCCGTGATTTTAGTCTTAATAGGTGACAACCTGAAAAATTATAAATTTTATAGGCTTTCTTTCCCCATGGAGTTTACGTGGTGAGTGAACTTAGTGATTCAAAACAAGTCCCTAAACTTATAGGTCCAAACTTAGCCACACTTCGTTGTTAAGGCATGTGCAGAGGTGAAGTCATAGGCTTAAGCAAAAAACAAATTGCAGAACCAAAAAAGATAACAGGGACCTTTTTGAAAAAAGAAACTTCTCTGACCCGAGCACAATGGGATAGGGGGCATCCAGGTGCCACTTCGGCAATTATGCAAGTTTGCCTTTGCGCACACGCAAGCATGAAAGGAAATTTGTCAAATACCATTTCAATGGGGAAATGTCAACTAAATTAGATCGAAATCAACATTAATTAAAAGCAAATTAATGAATGTGAATGGAGTCGTCTTGACGGCTTCCTTTATCATCTGTAAGTGTTTTTAAAGTTGCTTTACGCCTAAATTTAAAAAAATTCCACCTTTATTTGGATCCCTGATTAGTATTTTTTAATTACATTTCAGAATGAGTACGTAAATTAAGACCATGTTTGATACCTAAATTGGCTCAACCTAACAACATTATGTATTAGCCGAAAGTTGTGTTAGAAGAAAAAAGATACGATTTATGATCCCATAATCTATATCTCATTAATTTGCAGATTTAAAAGTTCAAAGTCACTAAAGTTATATTCTTACATCTGTTTCGGTAGGTTTTGTAAGGCGAAAACTATCTTTTAGATATCTACTTATAACGTCAATGTTTTTCAAAAATCGGATTTATAAATTTTGAGGTTTTCCTAGTTTTGCTTTTGTTAAAATATCAGGGGTGCCACTTATCATACAATTCCCAAAATTTTGCATCGACGCCTACTTGTCACTCAATCTTCCCCTTTTTTAATACTTTGAGGGTGCATAAATTGACAAGTGAATTAGTCCTGTGGCAAAAAATTGGTGGTTCTTTGTATTTAAAAAAATTTTCTCTAGGTGTCCCAACTTCTGCTAATTATCTCCCGTACTTTTTTTCTTTTCTTCAATTTGTGATTTGTCACAATGGTGGAAATAACTAACGAGCGACAGGTTTCGCCTTTAAAATATCTTTATCTGTAATGCATGCTACAAAAAGATGTTTTGTGGTAGTAAATAATTACTTTCCAAATCACCCAACTTTTGCATGTATTTACATACACAATAATATGTGCATATATTTGCGACGAAATTGGCAGCGCTCAGATTTCTCATGAAACGGCTCAAATATATCCTAATATATTCATTAATTTCGAGCACACCATTTTTTGGCTCAAAGCCGGTACCTATTTTTTATCGCCATTCACTTGTAAATTGTCAGTCTATCATGTAGTATTTAAAAATCAACGAAATTGTGAATGAGAAATCCTCATTTCTTATCGTAGTTTGCAAATATTTCGAGGAAATCTGCACTTTTATAAGTGTTTTCTTTGTCCGTAGACCTTGTAGCATCCGACATAGCCCGGACTTACAGCGACCGGATGCACGTGGAATTCCGCTCCCTGCTCTACGCATCAAGCGAGAATTCACTTTATGCTGTAGCAAAGGAGTAAGTGGGCCTAGAAATGCCATCCCCTTTCACATCCTGGATTTTTGGGCGACCACTTTCCTTCTCATTCCTCCCCTAGGGCCACGCTTGTCAAATTGGATGGTAAGACATTGACCCCGATCGACGCCTACTCTGTACCACCTTTGCCGCAGGCTTCTGTCTACTGTCAAGAATCGGTGAGTCTGCTGCAAGTCCACCTTCTCCCCTCCAACCTAACATTACATTACCATACCAATCATTTGCAGGGCCTGCCTATGGACTTTTTGGTTTTTAGCTAGGATGCAAGCAGCGTAGGGAGATAAATGTACTGGCAAAGACACCGGAAAAGCCCTTTGTCTTCTACTGCTCTCTTCACTACGAGGCGTATCCACACGGAGTCAGTCGACAGGTCCTAACCAGTTGTGTGGTTCCCAATGTAAGTGAGCCAGCTACCCTTGCGACGTCATGGAGTAGCATCACTGGCAGTGCCACAGTAGTGGTAATGCCAGCGGCCCGGATTTTAGAGTACTGATGGAAGGCATTATACATGCACACACACACACACGTACAAGCACACAAACACACGGAGAAAAGGTACATCGCGCCTGTTAATGATAGCATTTGGCGTTGCCAACATTGTTGAGAAGCATTTTAGGCGTTGCTGCATCTTAACGTCGGTCACTTTCTCTCTACTTCTGTGAACTTGTGGCTCTGTCGGAGATGGCATCCACCCTACCTGTTTAAGGTTGGATTGACAGCTGACGTATGTAAGAGGTGACCTGTTTATCAAAGATTGAAAGGGTCATCCGATCATTTACAGAGTTCAATCATAGGATATTACATCTGTGCAGGCTTCGATAGGGTTCTCTGGTCATTTTAAGCTGAACGAAATGCCCCAGCTCCCTTTCGGCTGTAGTAGTCAAAATAAAACCAAGCTCGGAGTTCCTTTGCTTCTATCCCGCTTTTATTACCCGCTTAGCTATTTATGGGGTCACGTGATTGTCGAATGATAAATGCAGCGAAACAAAATATAATTGGAGGATACGCAGAAAATGAGGATGGAAGAAAGGCAGTGCCTCTTTCCCTCTCCCATTCGAGAGAGGAAGCCTTCCCACAGGCACATTTTATGAAAGGTCACTTTCCTTCGCTAAGTTCGCCGCTTCTGAAGTGTTCCAAGTGGTACTGCATTGAGCAGGCCGATCTACATCTTAATTGCTTCGTCTGCAGAAGATGAGCACTTCCAAGTGAAGAAGTGTGGCTGCGAGCCGCCGTACCCACAGATTAACAAAAGTACCAAGCATGCATAGTTCTCTGGAGATGAAGTAATGTGTGCCTTAGAAACACGCGGATTACTGCTGCTGAGTGTTGGCGACTTCCGGTTGTGGAGATCGACTCGTGCCTCTCTGACATTTGGAAGCATTCGAAGGTCCACCAACATTCCTGCGGAGTGCTATTCCCCAAAGCTCAGCGACGAGCTGATAGACTGGTGACATGATTGACACTAGGAGACCTCATTTAATGTCACGGGTACGCATTCAAGGAAACCCACCTTTCTGAATAATTACTGTGTCTTCTCCCTACTCATTCAACTTTTTTATTCCACGGAGGTTTTATTCACATGAAATTTCTATTTTTTTTTCACAAACTAGTAAACATCATGCAAGTTTTTTTTTGCCTTTCTTAAAGGTCTCTGTCAAATACACTTGACAGAGACCTACTTGTCACACGAGGCGTCGCATACCTGCCTAATTGCACCGGCATCTCACGCGCTGCCAACTGGTGGTAGTAAAAATGGCAACAACAAAAATGACGCCTCCGTTATTGCACCTTTCAGCCCACAAATTTAGCAGAAAATCTGCTCATCTGGGACAATGGGTACTACACATCGATGGATCCGCAGCGCCCACCGGTTATCCTCGTGCCAAAAGATAATACTCCTGAACAGTCGGCGGTCGAGACACCTCATCAACCCTTCTTTTATGTGGCTGGTGTTACAGTAAATTTTCTTCACATTGGAAGACTTCAGATGCCTGACTGGGCTTCCGGTAGCATCCACTGGGACGGTGCGCTGTTTAGTCCGAAACGCAACGTCTTCATCAATGGTATGCTCAAATGAAACATCACCCCAACTCCTAATAACATTTGATAACCTCGATGCTAACCGCTTCACAGAGCCTGCCACAATTGTAATGAGCTTCGAGACAAACACGGCGGCATACTTCTTGTTGCGCGAGAAATCGTCCAGTTCTTCGAGACATCCTCCTCCTCGAGAGACGATTTCACGACTAGTTCGTGTGTGTCGAGGTGACAGAGGTGGTCTGCGAGGCATCGCAGAACACTACTTCGGTACTATGGCAAAAGCAGATCTTCTATGTCAATCAGAGCTCGCCATCTTCTCTAGGAACGGGGAGAGGAGTCGCTTTACTTTTGATTCTGCTCAATCAGCTTACTGGGATGCCAATGCAAAACGACTCTACGCTGTGTTCTCGGCTGGCGAGTGAGTATTCCTCCTTACTTCCTAGTCCATTGCCCTTAGTAAACAATACACGCATAAAGTTTTGGCATGACACCCTAAAAGCCACATGTATCAACTCATGAAGACGTTGTTTGACGTCATTAAACATTGCACAAAGCAGTTGAGTAACTACGCAACCTAAACTTTTATGATTCACTAGGTGGGACGACCTTTTACCTGTAAAAGGGCATTTAAATAAACCTCGAATTGCATTTATGTGAATTTGTAATTAGCCGTTTTGGTAAGACAGCTTCGGCCCTCAGTCCTCCTCCTCCTATCTGGATGGTCGAGTTTGCTTCCTGTTTTCCAAGCCGAGGTAGTTGCAGGACTTTTCACGTAAGGTCAGAGAGGGTGAAAGTCTCCTCTCAGGAAATGGAATCTTTTTAGTGCGCCTGTAATAATATGCCAGACGTCCATGACATAAAAGTTAAAATCACAAGGATTAAAGAAGGCAAAAATACATCCTTGGAAGGCATGTAACCAAAAATTGTTGAATATGACTGTTTACGCCCCCTCTACTCCTGACTCATGGCGACATTTGGTTGAGAAGCTGACTAGGTCTAGGCTTCTCTTTCCACCATATGGTCTGTTAATGTAAGGAAGAAGATAAGGTAAAAAGGAGGAATAGAGTTATAAAAGCAATTTCTCGTCATTTTGTTTTGGTTTTGACAAGCCTTTGACAATCTGTCTAATTGAATCACTAGGATTGAGAGTGTAATTCTTTTTGAAGAAGTGGCGGTAATCCCCCTTCCTACAAATAATAGGTTTGAATGGAAAGGAATGTGGGGGGTTGAGGGATGAACCACCGCGTCGCTACAAGTCATGGATGGTCGGTTCCATCCTCGTGTGGCCTAGGTCCTATCAGCCTCCCGTCCATACATTCAATAGGCAGGTGTCTTTATTGGCCGACGTGTTCGAGCGCGCACAGAGATGCGGTGTGCGTGTTCAAGCCTGATGGCCGGGTAGTGGAGACCGTCCAAAATCAAATCTGAGTCATTCGGCCATCTTTGTCACACGTAGTCATAGTAACTGATTGACCTTAAACTTTGATAGATTATTAGGTCGCATAAAAAAGTAGCCAATCAGGAGTGAGCAAGTGAAAGCGCAGTTTTTACGAGGCTCTAAAAGGAGTCAAGATGAGGGAAACTAATAGAAAATGAACAAGAATGCATTCTTTCCTAAAATTGGAGACATTCTCAGTATAAATTAGCATCCCTGCCGAGTTAGACCAAATCGTGTGACAAGTAGGTTGCATTTTCTGAATCCGCCATGAATCCGCGGTTGAAGCGGTCTATTTGAAGGTACAACTGTCGGTGCCGAGGTTTCTTTCAAAGTGAATGCCATTTAGAATTTCACATCAAATCCAAGAACAATTGATTTGATATAACTGTCAGTGATATCAAAGTGAGTCGGTATGAAAAAAGAAAGAGAGGAAAGGAAAGAAAACTCTGTCTGATGTGCGTAACAAAACTGCGGATGTTAAAAAGGTCATGAAAATTCTCACGACACTGAAAACAACCACCATGCCGCTAGTAGGGTTGCAGCCCTAGCTTTTCTTATCGCTTTTTTAGCTTTGAGAAAAAAGCATCCACATTGTGGGACTGGTGAGAGGCTAGAGGTGCTCATTTAATCTTGTGTCTAATGCGCATCTATCACCACAACTTTAGTGGTGATGCCTGTCACATACATCAAAGTTCCATGTCCAACTATTCAGTTTTGGTAGATTCAAATCACTTGGTACCGCTCCTTTACTTGTTATGGTTTTACGAGCTCTTCCATAGCGAGCGTCACCAATTCAGTCGTTCGCAGGAGACGTCTCTTGGCGCTTACTCGTTGAACCTAGTGATTACCTCATTCATCTAGGCGTTAGCTTTCTCCACAGAAGAAGGGCATGCTTCATACTGTCTTGAGCAGAACCTCAAAGGCATAGGCTATTCGAGTCTAGAGGGACCTATAAGTTCCGTGCCGTGGGGGGACGGGGTCAAATCCCAGGAATCCGGATCATCAAGTTGCAACCCTGCTATTATTGACCATCTAACCTAACTCCTATTTGCTTTTCAGAGCTGGCCCTCATGGAAGTGCTGCCTGTGTTTACGACCTCAAGAGCATTGAGAAGACCTTCAGAGGGCCCATCACGAATTCCAACTACCGTCAAAGGCAGGCGTCCAGCTCAGCCGAGGCCAGTGTTCGGCCCAATCCCTTCCCAACCATTGTAAGCAATTGATTATCCGCAATCAGTTACCGTGAGTTTTTAAAAAAGGTTGTCCTCGTGTTGTATTAGCTCCAAAATACCTCCATGGATATCAGCTGCCACGTGTTCAATCCTTTGTCAATTAGATAAGTGATTATTTTGTATTTCATTCTAGTGTGAAAGATTCGCAGCTGGCAACTTGACTGCAGATGAGTTATCGCTGGGTCAAATTGGTGCGAACTTCTTGTACCGCTATGAGCCTGTGAGTCCCCTCTTCGGCCATGCAATTGCGATGTCTCCCACCGTGACATGGAGCGCCGTAATTGGTTATAAGCTTCCACCAATCGCCAACGCCCATTACACAACCTCAATCCTCTGGCTTACTTCAGCCAGTCATCTCACTCAACTGGCTTTCTATGAGAGTCATAACAAGGAGGATGATTCTCCCAACCCTGTTCTGTTGAGCACTTGTGAGCTGAGGCGCCTACGAGTGAGTCAGACTAATGACTTCCTGGAACGGCTTCGAGACGCACCCAAACTGGTCACGGAAACACAGAAGCCTTCCCTCCAACAAAGGAAATCTTCCAGGTGGGGTCTACCCTTTAATGAGGACGATTCATGGCAAAGTAGTCCTGATAATCCTCCAGAATCGTCCAAAATTGAGCACATTATGAGCATTATAAGGGAGGTAGGTTTCAAGGCCTTCAAACCCCTGACATTTCGGATACGTTGGGGACATTTTTAGCACTATTTCTTTTGCACTTTAGGATGATTCAATCTTTCTGGGGACAACACACACAATCTTTCGTTTCCCCACGGATACTTGTTTCTCGCATTCAACAGAGGAAGCATGTATGACTTCAGGGGATCCACACTGCGGTTGGAACAACCAGATCTTCCGTTGTGTCAGTCTTCTGAGTCTACGTGGGCCCAGAACATCGGGACTTAATTTCAATATGAATGCCAAGATGCGTCCCCGATGTCCGTCGTCTGATCTTCTGCGTGTCAAGAACAAGGACTCCAGCTGGTCCCCCTGGCGACCGTGTTTGATGACTAGTGATCTCCATCCAAAGACGGAGAAGACTTCCTCAGTAGTGCAGCGCTCCTGTCTTTGTCGAATCTGTCTAAGTGAAAAACTGTGCAACTTTGGAGAACAGCAGGTCTCCCAATGCAAGGGTAATTTAAGAGGAGGCAATTTTGTTTGACGAAAAGTCTATTCCTTTTTTTCTACAGCAGCGCTGACTCAACTTTGTAATTCCAGTTCCAGGTGTGTGGTCACCTTGGTCAAGTTGGTCACGTTGTCTGGATAAGCTGCGATTCCGAACGCGTACCTGCTTTAACCCTCTTCTGGGTACTGAGGTGCCCACCTCCGACTGTCTTGGAGCTGAAAGGGAGGAGCAATTTTGCCTTATGCGTCCTCTCATTCCTGAAGGTAGGATTCCACTAATCAAATGTTTATTTCTTGCAATCTTCCAAACTTTGGCCGGGTATTAATCGGCGATTATCAGGGCTAGAGCAATAGGCCAGCTATAGCAGAGGTCCAGGTCACTGTAGTGGAAACCGAACGAAAAGGCTAGGTGAACCAAAGTCTCCTATCATTATTTAGTATCTGCTTTCCCACTGAATGCCCACATATTGTTGACCATCAGAAGGTGATTTCATGTAGTGCCAAAAAAACCTTTTGCTTCTTTCTGGATTCGACTCGATTAATCGGGGCCTACTTCACTAATGACCTTCACGGTAAACGTTTAACTATTTCTCGTCTTCGGTTACTTTGCCATTTGGTTTCCTTCTATTCCCTCTTCTAGTTATCAACTAACTAATCATAGCGATGAGAGTCCTCGAATCAAATACATTCCTCGTGAAGGTCTCCCTTCTAATGAAGCATTTAAGTTACTCCTACAGATCTTACAATAAATAGAAGTACATAAGTGGCTTTATTATGGATGCAAATTGGAGGTAAAATACCAACAGCACGGATTACAGAAATTGATCCCTATGGCAAGGAGGGAGAAGCTAATTTGCAATTTTTTAGTCTTTTGCTTCCCTCATAAGTTACATAAAACTAACCGTCGGGTGTGAGATGTATAAAGCTGGGCAAACTAACCCCGTCTGCTCGTAGAAAAAAGTGTCAGCATGAAGGATCTGCATACAACTGGAAAAGAGGGCAATTATTCTCCCCCACCCACTTAGGCCTTTCCCTACCCCACCTTCCGCCCCCTCCCAGCCGTGCCCCTAAGGTAATCCCCCTGGCGTTTTTGCTGCCCTTGACACAATGGAAATGGAGTGTGTTCACACATATCTGCCTTCTTGCCTGCCTGCTGCCAGCCTTCCTACCTGCACAAACTGCATTACACAATCGATGAACGCAGGCACACTTTCACACGCTGGAGGCTTTGGCAACCGCGTGTGTGTTGCAAGATGCCTCTCACAGCATCCACTGACGTTGTTTTCATCGCTCGCATAAAACTGAAACACTAAATATCGCTAGGTTTTCCTCGTCGTCTCAAACCCGAAAGTGCAGTAACGTCTCGCCAATCCTCCCCACTTAATCGACCAATCAAATTCATTCAAGAGGGGCTGCAGATTTAAACACCTGCGTTATTCGTACCTCGCCAATTTGATGACTAGATTAAATGGCCAGTGAGATGAAGCCATGTGATGTAAATCATCTAATCAGAATTTGGATAATTCGAGAGTCATTTAATTTGCAGAGGTAGCCTTCGAAGGAACGCGTGCCGAACATGTAGCCCTGAAGAAGTCCACCAATCACGGAATCACAATTGATAGAAATCATCTTGTGGGAATGTTAGTCGGTCTATCTGTGGGAGTTCTCTTCACCCTTCTCTTCATCTTTCTCTTCGTCCGACTCTGTCGCTCCCGACGGCGTTTGACGTCGAGGTCGAGCCATTCACATCGGTTGCAACTCCAAGGAGGGCGACGAAGTATCAGCAATATTCAATTAGTGAGCCAATTAAGAGACTCATTACTCAGCGACCATCCCACGTATGCGAATCCGAGTCCTATTGAGCGATCAATTCACTCCACTTTCTCACCCCGGTACAATTTCATCCTCCACCATTCACCACCTATGAGCTTTGAAAGGGCTTCCGAATCCAACTTCTCCTCTACTGAAGAGACCTCCACAACTACTGGGATCTACGATCGGCTATCGGAAACCAACAAATGAGGTCAAATCAGCTCAGTGGAACCACTAATCGCCAAAGGAACGCAATCAAATCACGCACACTTCTCCCCCCACTTTTCCTATTTTCCCGTAGATATCCACACGCACACATGCCCACCAACTCAACCCTTGGCGATTAGATCTCCGTATCAACTTTTGGCTTCGATTCCTCCAACCCTCTAACCCTATATAAGTCTTCAATTCAGATTTTCTTAATTGAGCCACATTGGTTTTGTACATGAAGGGACAGAGCGTGCACGTAAACAAATGTCCTCCGTTTAATCCCCTACACAAATTCATTGCTCAGCGAGAAAATATCCGCACACTGATCTAATCAACGTCTCTTTATACCCATCTCTCCTATCTGTCTGCCTATCCGTCAATCTGTTTCTTGTTCTGAGCCCGTGTACGCATTTGCAGGTACAAGTGTGATTGTACATAGAGTTAGTAAATTATTACACTATGGTTTTGCAAGACGTCCCTTCTCTGATGGTTGACTGCTTTGGGGCTGTGACGCGGGTGTCGGAGCTTCTTTAGCAGTTTCAAGTTAAGCATTTCAAGCATTAAAAAGCTGAAAGTGCGTGAACTTAGTTTAAAGTCAAAAGATAACGAAGAATATGGGATGTGCTCTTTCATTATTTATGCTCTATTAACAGGCAGAGAATGTGACCTAAAAACACTTAATCAGAGTGATTGACTGCTTGTTCTGTGCGTGTGTATATAAGTAGAGCAGAACCATCAATAGCGGAATATTAAAATAATGACGGATGGAGCAGTTTATGTGCAATGAAAAGTTAAGCTGCTGCAATTGGAGCTTAAGGAAATGCACCAAGCTGCTATTTAACTTCACACGCCAAAAAATCTAAACATCAATGAAGCCACCAATTGGGTCAGAGAGTAGATCAGCAAAATTTGACCCAGTGCAAATAACAGTTGGATTTAATGCCTTACTAGGCACCAAAACTCTAGCAACAGTTGTTTTATCAAATGGTATCCAAAAGGGATGAAAGCTCTAATGTAGGCAGATGTGTAAATTTCAAACAAATGGGTCAGTATTCGTTAACAAAAGCTTAAGTAAAAGAGCCTGTGCTAAAAAGTTGTTACTAGTGGTGGAGTGGGTTTGGGCTAAAACTTGGCAACGTTATCTTTTTTACGCAAAGTGCGTTTATATCCCAAAATTAAAAAAATTGTTCTCGTCTATTTTTAGTAAAACTACTTATTGGAAAAAGTAGGTACAACTGGTGTTTATATAAATCAAAATTTGTTGTCCGCTGCTTGTGGGTAGTTATAAAATGATGTTCAGCTTAACGTTAATAATTCAGGTCAAGATTCCTATTAGTGAAATTCAAATTTTTTTGTAATTGGCTTCCTCCAATGTCTACTTCCTTACTTAAAGTTGAAGCCGAACTTTGCCTACTTACACTGCCTTTTTTCAACTCCCACAGCCTTTAGAGCGAATTTACTACACTCTTAACTGGTCTGACATTGAACTGGTGTAGCAATGCCTGAAAAAAGTGCTTATACATTCAATTTTGTGCCATCACGTGGGTTCCCATCAATCACAGGCAAGGATGCTCAAAGTTGTTTAATGCAATGGTATAACGCACTTTCTCATGTTTTGGGTGTACTAACTGAATTTTTGGTTAATAGTAAAAGCCACTGTGATCCAGTCTTACTGTGGTAAATGCTTTTATGTCATTCAGAGTAAATGGAAATAAAAATGGGCACTCAGTTGATGTTGGAGTAGTGATTTGACTTCGTTAGATCCTTGATTTTTATTGTAGGAGATTTTCATCTGATTAATTTTATTAATGAATTGATGTTAGTTAAGAGTAGGTACTTGCTATTGATATCCTCACAGCATTTCACCCACACGTTTTGGCAGCTTGTTTTAGGGGATACCGTCTTAATCAAACACAACTTTGTGCTTATTTCTCTGTATTTATTTACTTAAGTTGGATTTTTTTACCCAAACGGGTTCAAATATGGATTTGGTAGTAAGATTTGCCCATGAAATATTTTGTGTAAACAGATTTCTTGACGATTGATCAATTCATGAACAACATTTGTTTCTGTAATCTTTTAATCAGACCTCAAGCAAGCTACAAATTACCAGATGTTTTTTTCAAAAGTTGCTTTGACGAGTAGCTTGCACTTAAATTTATTTGCTGCTTAAGGTCAATGAAAGGTCTCCTTCATTGTCAGTGTTTCTCCTTCGATGAAACCTTTAAGAAACATGAAATCAAGGAATTTGCCACAGTAAGCTCATCTTTTTTCCATATCAATAAACTTAGGCATTTTTTAACGACCCAGTTGTTCGTCAAACACTTGAAACCGAAGAGGGACTTCCACGTAATTCATTTGCAACTGCTAATCCAGCTTTTCCTTAGTAGATGACTGTGATGTTGTGGTTTCAAACGTTCCTTGTACTCTTTTATCGATGGATATCTTCAACAGATGCATTGGAACTGTCACTCATAAGACAGGTCGCATAAAATTTTGCTTTGAAGAATACTGTGAATCATTGGTGGTCAATGACTGCTTGAAACGGGTATCTGGTCAAATTTATTTATCCCTTCTCTGTCTCCTTAGGCATTATGTATTCAGAACTCGGAGTTCTACGATCTATTCAATGAGACTGAACGTGAAGAATTCCTCTTTAGACTTTTTAGGCATATTGTCATTGGGGGTGAACTCTCACAGCCAAATGAAGATTTTGGAGTGTACACAAATTTTGTCAAAAATCTCTATAGAGAACTGATTAGGTTTGATGATACCTTACATTACTTAAACGATGACTTTCAGCGTTCAAAAGATCCAAGGGTCGGAGGAATTGAAAATAGTCTCCTTAGTGTACGATGTTAGAGCTCTGGTAGGTCGACTTCTCTGACATCTAACTTTACTGTAGAGCAACAATGAGACCGTTTATCCGGCTGCAAAGACACATATCAACACATTCGCATATCTCATTGTTAATCCTATCAAACGCCATGTCATCGCACTTTCACATGTCTATGGCATTGGGCAGTTTTGACATTGATCACAACCAAATAAATCGTTGCCCTGTTGCTACTTACTCATTTCAGTAGCAAGATTATACCATGCGGAGTTGGACCCAACTGCAACGACGCGCAGGAGCCAAGCAACAAGAACACTTTGCCTTTTTATGTGTTAGCTACCGCTGCCTAGGAGAGAAAAGGAGAAAGATTGTATAATTAATCGTATATAAAGTAAAGACGATAAAAAATTGTAGCAGTGAAAAATTTGAGTACACCAAAATGCCAATTATTAAAAAGGAAAGAAGATGGAAGAATTATTCAAACGCTAATTGGCGTAGAATTGGGGAAGAACGTCGGCAAGGGAGAATGTTGGGAGAGAGGTCATAAAAATTGAAACCACTGTGGTCAAGGAGTACAAGAAGCGTTTAGCACCTCCTGGCGAGCGCGTTTGATGGCACTGATAGTGTCAAGACAGGCCTGAATGGCCCGACAGTTGGCAACCACACTGTCCGCTTCCAAGTCTGCGCTCAATCGAGCAGCCAGCTGTTGGAGGGTTGTAAACATCTGGGTCAGCAAGTCATTCTGCACCCGGGCGCACCAATCAGACGCTGGCTCCTGATCGGTTCCGCCGCCTCCTCCACCCGAGATCGACTGCGGCGAGGCGGTGGCGGCCGAATCTACAACAATGTTATTTCCCACTCTCTAAACGAGGTATTTAACATTAGAGTGTCTCAAATAATGGGTGTCACCGACTGAAGAAATGAAAACTGCAAGTGGTGCATGGCAGTGGCTACCCAATAAAAAGATTGAGGAATTGGAGACGATTTCTTGAATGGGTGGATTACCACCCAAATGCGAGGATAAACGAGTTTGTATAAATGGGTGAATAAGGAGCAAGTACCAAATGGCTTCAAGGTACATCGACGCACCCGAAATGATTGCATAGGCCTAGAATGGATGATCCAAAGGGCTGAAGAGTGGATCTGTGTACGAGTGGATGGATATGGAATGGAAAGAGGAATCGGGGGTTATTGATGCAGACACGCAGATTACGAATGAATGGATGCATCTTGATCAGATGAATGGAATGCGTTAGAGTTAATGTACAAGTAGATTCGGAATGGATGAGTAGACAAAAGGCGTGTGGATGGATAGATGGGTTTCGGGTCGGTGGATGGTCCCAAAAAGGCTGAGTCAAGGGAAATGAGTAGATCCGGGGGGAATGGGGATAAATAACGGGACCAATAAATGTGTGGATAAGAAATGAATAGGTGGAGAAGATGGATAGATTTGGGCGTGAAAGGATGGAGGCAACTAAAATGATTTGGAGACAAGATGGAACTGGAATAGTCAGATGGATGGGCTTATTCACAACAGGTGGGTGTACATGGATAGATGAGTTAAGGGGTGAATGGGCACTGGATGAAGGGATGGCGGGATTAAGGATGACTGTATGGCCAGATGAGATGTTTGTTGGATAAAGCACCGCAGACACAGACACACGCACACACACACACACACACACACACACACCACCCCCAATCCTTGCTCTCTCGCGCTCGCGACATCTCCCACGGGCCAAAACGAGGTCACACCGGGGTGACTGCAATGAATGCGCGTCACCGTCAGACAAAAAGCAAGCGGGCCGGCCGGCGGGCGGGCGGGCGAGCACGAGCGGGCGGGGAGGCAGAAAGGTAGGAAGCGAGGCAGAGTGGTGAATTGTTTACCTTCTACAGAATGCAGCGCAGGCACGAGGTGACTGGCCAAATTACTCACAAAGAAGGCGAAAGAAAAAAGGGAGCAGAGATAAAAAACGAGGCCAACGCAACGACGGCCCAACCGACAGTGAGTCATGGACGTATGCCTCTTCTAGGCACGTCTTGTTTCCGTAGACGGTAGACAAATGCACCACTGTGGTGCTGGTTTTTTGCAGTCGCCATTCTACCTCCTCATCCTAACAACACGAGCTCTCCCATCTTCCACTTGGCAGTTTCCTCGTTTATTGCCCTCACTAACACGACGATAGCCTGACGCCTTCCGGGATTACCGGACTCATTTAAGTGGGTGACATGTTTAAGTAAAGATTTCATTAATAGCACATCATGAAGGAGCGTACTTGTAAAGGAAGAACGATCGTTTTCATGCGGGCAACACAGAAATCTCACCATTCATCCCATGAGCATTCGGCATCGCAGAAACGGTGGGGAGAGAATATGAAGAAGAGGAGGGAGAGGAGATAAGAGGATGGCAAGCACTGGCGCACCGCTTGCGTTTCAATGGCGGTGTGGTGAATGCAGTGTTCACATCGGCCATGGCAACAACGGTAGCGGCGGTGGAAGCACCTGTGGAGACATCACTAGGAGGAGCGACAACGGCAGAGGAGCCAGTGAAGTGACGGCGACGGCGGTGCTGCTTCATCTCCTCCTCCGCCTTCGACTCGAGCATCTTTTCCTTCTTCCAGTGCAACAGCATTCCTACACCACCGCTGTTGACTGCAGAAGTCGACGTCAACACTGTTGGAGGGACCCCTCTGCTTCCAGCTTCGGCTGCAAAAAAAAATGCAGACTGATGTGTAATTTAACGGTAGCGCATGCCCGCGCGTATCTGCACGGACGCACACGATCTCCCCTGTCCAACGCTTTATTGATGAGTCATTAGCCGTAGACAAAGAAAGGCATCGTTGTGTCGGGCGAAGGGGAGCAAAGGGAGTAGAAACACCAGTGACCTCTGTTTACCTGCTTCATGTGGCACTGGTATACCACGTGTGCTAACCGAGTGGATTTTCTCCGGATTCCTGGGGATTGGATTCAGAAATATTCCACATCCTTCCAGACTAACATAACATTACCAGATCATCGGTCATTACTCGGACGCTTCAATGTAGACCTCGCTGATTGGATACTTTGGTATAAGTTCGAGAGATGGAAGGGATCGTCTGTGAATGGCTGAAGAAGTAGAGATTTGCAAGATGCGACTCTTGAAAAGCACCCGTTAATAGTTTCGACCGGAGGCACCATCTCTCCATGTCATGCTTGTGGACTCCAAGCTCCTAAGCAAGCTGAATCTTTCCACATGCTGGTTTGATTTACTACACCTTCAAGAAGGCCTCAGGGAGAACCCAATCCGCGTGAAAAAGAATTTTGACTTCGATGACTTGTCATCAAATCTGCATGATACGGAGGAAAGTACTCGCCGTGAATGACTGACCCGTTACAGAATGGTCGAAAACAGCAACCTCCTTCTGGCAAATGGCCAATTTCGAGATTCACATACTAAACGTCGATGCAGCCTCGATGACAGCAGTCGACTTTGGAGGGAAGCTTCCCAGTATTTGCCCACACACAACAATTGGACTATCGTCCAGTATTTAGTACTATCTGCCAAACGGATTCCCGCAGGGGTCGTGATAGCCAGAGATGGCAACTAGATCGGCACCACGTAGTAGCACTAGCAGAGAGCCTTCTCGGCAAGATTGGATTTCACTCTAACATCTTTGATTCAGTGAAGCGACCGAAGCAGAGGAGTGACAACGAGGAGCGTAGGGGAAGTCTCTCGAAAGAGGAAAGACTGTACAGAGATTTGATGTTTACTTCAATGCACCCTTACCTACGCCAACTATGTCGCCTCCATAGTTTGTATTTCCACCTGCCTAGAGCCCTCCAGCGCCTGCGTACGTTGACAACGACTGATATGAAGTACGCCAACTGTAAAGCATCTTTCGCCCTCGGACGAACCACGACAAATGACTCCACGCAAGGCGATTAACAAGTAGGATAGCACTGCCTAGCCTTCATTTCTTGTTCGCGGCTGATTTTAAAACGCTCAACTACATTGTGATGAGTCAATGTAGAGGAAAGACCGCGAGTAGTGTCGAGGTCAACGCTCAAAATGAGAGAAGGCAAATAATATACGGCAATAGCCCCTGTCTCTCGCTCCTCAGTGTACACGCTGCTCATGCTACCTGACTCCGCACTCCTGTGCTGGCATGCCATATTGCATTTTTAGGGGTGAACAGACTGCAACGCCACTCCAGCGGTGATTCCTTTGCTTCAAAAGTGGGACTAATTGCCACAAACACTGGGAAAGCAAATAAAGGCAGAAAAAGGTGGTGCTGAGGGGTTGATTAAGAATTCCTCCCGAAATATGCGGACGGCGTGGCGCACACCGACACCACTAAGTCATGTCGACAAGACACCGCCGCTATCGCATGACCGGCTGCGATGTACCCGTGACCTCAATTCAGACATCTAGACAGACTTATTGGAGGGGGGGAGGAACGGGGGTTACCACCACCTCGATAGACGTCTCTCCCTCCCTTCCTTCTTAATGGAAACAGCTGCCCTTTAAATTGATGGCCCTGTCAGAAGCTCATTTTCCAAACGCATGATTTGGATACATGTGTGCACGACTGTCAAGCCGTCTCCTGCCTCCCATTTGGGCGCCCAGCACCTTGTAAGAATCTGGGATTAAGCAGTACATCACAAATGAATATCTTCAATGGAATCCGCAAGTGGAAGACATGACAGATAGGTCTTTTGAAACCAACTGTTGGTAAATCGAGAAGTCTTTTTGCTGTATTGAGAAATCAATTCAACCGTGATAGCCAATGCAGAAAAGGTGGGAGCACGAGGATAAAGCTCACAGCAAAAGGGAAGGCAAGTGACGGAGCATTTCCAGTCACCACATTGGTGTCAGCAACAACTGGACACAGTCGGAATGAACAACAGGCTTGACAGTAAATTTATATGACGCAAAGGAGGACGTCTGCTACGCGTTGCTGAATCTGCAGAGACACAACGAATGAATTATCCAGACCACCTTTACTTGGGCAATCAACTCATATCGCGTTCTGCAATAAGGCAACAATCGAAGCGGTACCAGACTCCAATGATCTGAGGGGAACACAAGGCGACGGCTGAACTTCACCGAAGGTGGAGGGTGGCACGGATGAATGATCGCTCCGTGAAGCCAGGGAGACTCAACAATGCAGCACACTATGGAGCCCCCGGAAACCCCAAAATGAATCACTGGCATCGAGATTAAATATCGAAGCGTCGTTCCCAGTACATGGATATTTTCTAAGCATCGACCACGTTGTGATGGCCAATGCAGACTAATTGCAAGGAGGGCCAAGGACGACGATCAAGAAAGTGGGGACAGTGCAACAGTGACAGATTTTTTAAGTGTACATTCAACTTCGCTGGTTCTCAAACCTCAAGCAGTTTCGGTCACCATCTAGGTGACCCTTTTGTAGTCCAAGGTAAATTTGTAACAGCCCACACATCTTATTGCATCTTCAAGGGGGAGTCAGCACTACCCTTCCAGACTCGCGCCTGATAACGCCGAAAGAGACTAACTTGGCCTCCACAATTTCGGGGGGTTTGGCCCTTGCCCGGATGGGTTTTTTTCGTAATTGGCCGCATTTCGGGACACCTAGAGTGACGGGCGGGTGGAGGGTGACAGGACGGTGATGGCGATGACGACGGAGAGAGAGACAACGACACCAAATGCGGACAAGAGGAAACAAAGATAGTACTTGAGTGTGGGCGAGACTTCGCGTAACCTCCTTTCACTTACTTAAATTGCTGTAAGAAGCAGGAGGAATGGTCGCCTGATGATTCTGCGATAGTTCAGGCTGAATGAGAGACTTGTGAAGGCTGTTCCTTGAAGAGAAGGGCATCTCAGACACTGAGAAACGGCGTGTGCAGTTGGATCTGCGTCCAAAAAAATCACAAAGTCAGAAGTATGCAGAATACACTCCCTGATCAAATAATCCCAGCACCGATGACACGATTCAGGATGGACTAATCTGCCCTCAAAGCCCCAATCAGCACCAATAGGGGCACGAGGACTGATCGACTTGCCACAAACATTTGGTCTCGTTTAGAGTGCAGGAATATCCCGCCTCGGTGTTAATAGTTCCGTTGTCAAAGCTGCAAAAGGAAATCGACAACCACAAAATATGCATCCGATCTAGCGTTGCGTTCCCCCAAGAGCCAAAGAAGTGCGGCAAGCCTTATGCTGAAATCGTCCCAACTCATTCATTTCGGCGCCTCGAGTCTAACTCAACCGCGTACACTACGAGTTGGACAGCCAACGTATTCGTGGTGTCAGTACTATGTAAAAAAAATCGGGGCATCATTTATATGCGGCGCGGGTAGCGAACGTGTTAACCAGCATTTATGAAGTGGCATGACCCCAAAAGTGCGAACTACGTGTCCAGTCATCAAACATTTGCGATGGAAATGGCGATAAGAAGTAGACTTCGGACATTGTAGACGCAATACTAACGTTCGTCTGACTAGTGTGCGCGCCCTTTTTAGTTCATGGTTGATCAAATCTACTGATGCAGATGGATAGAGGCCGCGATGGGGTAGGCAGCAAAACCTACAGATAGGGGGAAGTTGGAAGGAATGGGACGTCAGGGCTACTTCCAACCAGTAGGGGAGCGGAGAGACCACGCGGACCCAGAAGAACGAACTGACCCGACACTGTGGTTGCAGCGGCAGTGCCACTCTCAGAAGGTATCAAAGGTGAGAGTAGGTGATTCGCAGGAGTCGCTTGAGACAGAGAGGGTGACGAGCCTGATGCTTCAAACGGCGGATCGGGAGCTAATTGAAAAAAAGAAAGGTAACAAGGCGATTAGGACTCCCAGAACTTGAAACTTTGCACGGAGTAGATTGCTTACTTGAATTTTGAGAGTCGCGCTTCGACTGATGAGCAGCCGCGTCGGCAAGTGTACTGAGGCCCCGACTGTCGATTTCGTTGAAATGGGGGTACTTTTGAGACCCCTCCTGACTAAGACTCCCAGGAGAAACGAGTTGTGGAAGTTGCTGTTGTTGATTTGCCGCTTGAAAACAGTTCTCTTGAGTAGTTCCGCAGTCATTCCCAGTTTCCTAAAGAAAGTTTGAAAAGTTCATAGAACGATTCGACAAACGTTTGCACTTACCGGCTCGGTCGACAGCTTCTGTTCCACCTGGCGTCGTTCAACAACATTCGAGAGGATCGCAGCTACGGCGCGGGGGTAAGAACAATCGTTTTTTCCCGTCCCTTCATTCACCGACTTAACGGTCTGATGTTGCAGCTGCTGCTGCCGCTGCTGTTGTTGATGGCTCCTGCGTCGAACTCGGCCGGTGGGATTCGACCGCGCGCTCATATCGAGGCGAGATATGGGTTCAGTCGTCGTCGTCGTCGTAGTGGCAGTGGCGGTAGCGGAGGAAGAGAAAAACTCACCTGGAGTTGGTGGTTTGTGAGTATGGAGGATGCGGACGTGTTCCACTCGTCCACCTACTGTAACCGCAGTGGCTTTGCACTCCCGACGCGAGCATCGCCAGAACACCCGGTCAGACATGCCATCGCGCGACTTGGTGAACTTGTAGCCGTCAATCACTAGACTGCGCTCGCCTTAATGGATAAATATCCACTGTTCTCTTAGCATATGTATTTTTACGGGGACAGATATTCGGTTCCATATCGCCACTTGATTCTGGGATTATCAGGCTATGCTCGTCTACAGAAGGCGTGTCGACTCCTCTCTCAGCTTACAAATCTTTGGAAGAATGGAAATCCAGTTCCACATCTGTACTCCGTTGGGGAATTACTTCGTCTACAGGAAACTCTCTTCAGCCCTAAATATCTTCTATGCTGTGGGAATGAGGAATTTGCCTCAGGTCTGCACTTCACTAGGGACTCATTAGGCTACATTTGCCCGCGGGAATGTGTACCAGCTGCTCTCGATTTTAAGGTGAGAAATTGTTTTAACTCAAAGCTTATCAAATGACCTTCCAAAGATTTGGTCTTTTATCACTAGAATCTATCAGTAATATGGTGTGACATAAGTGTGTTGACAAAAGTAAAACAACTATTGGCAACAATGCCCGATAGCTATGCCAAGTTATAGTTTTCTTTTTAGGTAAAGCCTTTGTCATTACGTAAGCGATAAATATACTTCAAAAGAGCAAAAAAAACAGTTCGCCTAGCCACTCATTCGCCAACACCTAGGTGCTGTAAAAATGACGAAGATAAGCAACACCACACTTAACTCCACTTTTCTGGGAGCCTTTAAAGAAATATTAACAAGCTTTTTTTGCTCTTCCCATTAAACGAGATGAGAGAGAATAGGCATGAATCCAAAGAAGCTTAGCCTCGTCTAAATATAAAGAGCTCGGTTCGAAATCAGAGAAGATTATGGAAGAAAAAAACAGGAGGAAAACAGAGGAACGCCAACACACCCTTCCTGGTCACATCGAAACCGACGCGAACTTTCATCAAATTCCACTTATCCAACTTTGTTGCCGAGGTTTGCAGCTGTCCACCCAGTAAATTGGCATTTTCGACTTTCTCCTGCACAAATCCAACGGTTTTTGAGGCTGTCTGGGTGGCAGGCTCCGTGGGATTTGCATTGGCTGGCAAAGCGTCCGTAAAAATCATCGTACAGACCACCTGCCAGGCGAAAGAAAAGGCTTGGGGATGGAAGAACGTCGACACACGAGTCTACCTAACAGGAATGCGCTTTGTCTACGCTGGATGGAGCTCGCCTCGCACGGGCGCAATGACGCATACCTCAGTCACACGCCTGACCAATCAGCACTCAAGGTCAACACCACAGAGCCAGTCGGCGTGGCGAATCAGGGGGAGCCAATGACGAGGCTCGGGACACGCGCACGTGATTCGACCAGAGTTTGTGCTTGTGTTACAGCGTGCCGCCTCTGCTCGGTGGCAGTGGGTCGTAGGTGGGGCTCTCGGCCGAGGCACTTTCACTGCTAATTTGTAGCCCCTTGCAATGGGGCGAGGTCGGGCGTTCGTAATGGAACTGAAAATAGGGTCATTGTATTGAAAAATAACCTGGGAACTTTCAGTTTTAACATTTCCAACTGATTTCGAGGCGCTAGAGGGTACAATATGATCAGGTCCTTGCTGATGTCCTACACTCCCGTTGTTTCGATGCTTGTCGATATACCTCTAGTTAGCCACCAGGTCTGGCTACACAGGCTTAGTACTTTCGCTGACACTGTCACATATATGTGACGCCCCGGTTTTGCTTGTCTGAGGCGGCGCCACATCAACCCGTGCGACAACCAGATCTGTTGGGTTTTACAAAACAAATAAGAACGTAGCCTGCAGTTGGCCTGGGGATATGAGGAGGAACCATCTGCTGGTCGATCTTGGACAGTGAAAATGGTTGATAAAAGTCTTCAAGAAAAACTACAGCACTGTCTTCCCTCTGTTTTTAACCCGTCATTGAGAGGATTGGGTGGAGGATGGCATCGTCTGTTGTGCAGCAATGCGGAGGCAAGGGCGGGGCTTACAAATGGTTAAGGTTTATGGAGTGGATCAGTGGTCGTCGACTCTTCGACAAATTGGTGACCTCCGTACATCCAGGAAGCTGCTTTAATATGACCGCTAGGTACCAAAAAGGTCTGTTCAAAAACATAAATTAAAGAGTAAGATTTAAGAGGCTACCTTGCAACTTCTTTCCAATTTATGGAGGTTTTTTCCTCTATGGATTCGCTGAAATCGGGGACACTATTTACATTTTTTTCGCAGCATGATCAACCGAAGGGCTTAACTCGAAGGTGGCCAAGATGAGCACCTCTCAACTCACCCAGAAATCGATATATCGACTGATCCCGATCTGATTGCACTTCCACCACAGCCATTGGTCAGATGCAGCAACGTGGCTTATTCACAGGCATGCTACCTTCCGACCTGAGGGAAATACATCCCCCTTTGTCTTGGAATATCCATTCCCCCCAGTGGGACCTAGTTCCAGACGCCAGTAAATCTTTCCTTCAAGGGAGGTCGTCCCAATCCCTTTCGATTGACATTTTTCGCTGAGGGGACTTAGTGCTTAGGGTTACTCCTAAAGCTAAATCCAAAGTGTAGACGGAATGAACAGAACCTAGTGGCTATGATAAGAAGGTCTACTTGCAGTTTTCTACATCATCAATCCAAGCGGCTCTATTGTAGACATTTTTAACGCCTTCCATTGAAGTGTCATTTTACCACTGGTGTTGATGCACCCCCTGAGAGATTGGCTTACTTTACAAAAGTCAACGCCATTTCAAAAAAGGAATTCATAGTAAATGTCCTCTTTGTAAGACATTTCTTTTGCATTATAACCAACTGCTCTACCTAGACGTAGGTATTACTTGAAAGGGCTGAAGGTGTCGAGCATGTTTCACCTGATCACCAGATAAGCATTCTAAGTACCTTTGAAGACACTTTCTCCCTAAGAAGCTGGTGGTGGAGGAGAAGAGAGGTGAAAAGTAGCAATTACTGATCGCGTCTAAAAACACACCCAAGTCCTGACGTTGTGGGTAGAAGATGTGCCCAGCGTGGGGATAGGGTTCTCCTTCGAAGAAGCAGTTTGTGAATGAGTTGAAAGATATGATAGCTGGCGCACTAATCCGTCGGTTTGACAGTGTTTTAAATATCCATTCTGGTGCAGTCTTTAAGCTGCCTAAAAAGGCAATGAAAGCTGCTTATGGATTTTGGATTCCCAGGTGATCCTCGATTTACCCCAAACTTAGGCTCGCCAAATACTGCGTTCGTTGAGTTTTTGAGGTAAGTGACAGCTTGTCAACCAAAAAACTTTTGCTATTTTGTCAAAGGCGCTAAAAAGCTGGTTTGTCGCGACACCCAGCCTAGCTGCTTTGCTCCAGCAACTTCCACGGATATACGATTTTCACAGGGGCTGCATGCGTCAACATACATACTACTGAAAGAAATCAAATTTTATGAGTAACTTTTAAAGAAGTTGAAGCATTCCATTTGCCATGCTTCCATACTCTACACCTCTCACATTGGCGCAAGGTTGCCAAGTGGGATGAGAGGTCATGAAAATAGCAGTCTCAAAGCCCGAACTGGGGAACATGCATCCCCCAGTACCTCGGAAAGTGGCTCAGAAATGCCGGTGGCACAGTCCTGCCAACGATGTGGGAGCAGCACCGCCTCTACCAACCTCTTCACCCCGCTGCCGATACAGCACCTTACCTTTTTGTCGTGGGGCCCATGACAACTTTAGGGCTTGCCAAGTTGATAGATCACCTTTCAGGATTTGATTCTTAAACCATATTTGTCGTCTTTTTTTTTTACTTTAAAGAGAGCGCCACTCTATCAGGACACTGACTGATGCAAAAGAAGCCTTCCAGAATATGTCCTCTTTCTACAGATATAATCCAAGCCGTCGAGAAGGATGCCAAAAGTAAATTTATCATTCCTGTTTGACAGTACAGTGTGGAGACATTATAGTGAAGGAGTTATTTACAATGGGGCGGAGAAGGCAAATTAGGAATGCTACGTGCTGTGCGATTCAAATAAAGTCGCACAATTACTGGCACCTCGCCAAATGCTAGAAATGGCGTCATGAGTAAAAAAACCACACTTCTACCTCACTCTCTCTTGAACAAAAAAAAACTAAACAACATTGTGTGGTCTCCCGAATTCGCTTTTTTCGATGACTCCAGTCCCTGCTACCATCTTGGCATCTTGCGTAAGGGAAATTACTCTGACGAAAGGTGGACGAAAAATGAGGAAAAACGACTTATTTTTTTCTAGAACAGCAAGACCGTACTTTTCAAAACCTGGATCTCCCCATTTCGCCGGAGGGGCGCTGGGGGCCGGCGCGTAGTGAGTCCATCTAGTTAGCCCCCTCTAGCCTCCATCATGGGGCGTAGTCAACGTCACAGATGAACCGCACGTATCCAAAATTGGAGGGCGGGTTTTGCATGAACTCGTCATCGTCTGGTCCCAAATGTCGGACACATTGACTCACGGAGGCGGCGCTGATTGACGGGCCGGATCGATGATAGGCGATGAGCGTGGCCTCACCGACGCCCTAATTCAGGCAATGCAACAACGTCTTGGAGACGGGAAAAGGTTGCGCAATATAGAATTGTAGTGTGAAAGTGACTTTTGTTCTTTAAAAATAGGAAGAAAAAAGCTAACAATGTGGAGAATCATTTAAGATTTTCGGGAAATTAACCGCACAATTCAAACACAAGAGGCGGTGAACGAGCTGAATGACTCATGTCGCCGAAAATTGTCACCTTTGTGAATCCCGTCAGTAAATACACTCTACTTACATTTCGGTACAAAGTCAAAAGAAGCCGATGCGCACGGAAGAAGGTGTGTCGACGAGAAGGCGGCTTTTGTTTAAAGCATTTTGCTAGGATCTATTAGAAGCAAACCGCATGCTAATCTCGTAAGAGGCACCGAGGCGGACCCTGCGCCTTAAGTCAAGGGGAGGGGGGATTTAAGATTTGGAAAGTTAGACACCTAGAGAGAAAAACAGCGAGTGAAGCAGAAAGTCTCACAGGTTTTATCGTACAGTGGACTCAAGAAAGCGAAAAGTGGACGAGTAAAGTAAATCAACGATAATTCTGGAATCCAATCCGATAATGTGACTCCTAAAACAAAACATCCTGTAGAAAATTTAAGTAAGGTGGATTACCTTCCAAATACAAATATCAAATTTGCTTATTTGAGGCTGTATCATTGCGCCATTTAGAGATGAAAAAATCTGCTTTTAAACTAGTTCCAGTAATTATTTGTGTTAAGATGTAGTGGTCTGCTCTTTTAATGAACTGTGCCTCGAATGGTGCGGGCGCTTTAGCGTCCGCTGGATGGTCGTTGGGTCACGATAGTAGCTACTCACTCCGT